TAGGCAACATGTGAAAGAAAAAAAAGGACATGAGAGAAACATTGCTTAACAAACCTTAAGACTTAGTAAAAGAATTTGATATTTTGCATATTGAAATCATTGTAATGTATACTGATAATCTGCCAGATTTCATTAACATACCCTTACTAATTTAAAAGTTATAGCATGAAAACTATAACAAGCACAAAATTGTTACGAAGTCAATCCCAGGGACCGAGCCCCTGCTGAAAGAGTTAATACAGTGTGTTTATGTTCACAGAATTTGGCAGACCTTTAATAAACATTACAAGTCATTTGTACTTGGAAAATCAGATTTTTTAATGATGGATTTTTACTGAAGATTTATCTGTGAATGTATCAAATTATTTTTCTTTTGGATTAGTCACATTAGATTAAAATTATTTTTCTTTGTTCTAAAAATCTCACATTTCATTTTTGTAACCTCTAAAACCTCCTAAATACATATAAAACTTTTTTTCAGTAAAACTTTATATTTATTTGTTATTACCTTTACCTTAATGCTTGCTCTATTTGATTCTTCAGTTTTTAGACAAATCATCAAAGTATAATGAAAAAGACAAGTTGTAGAATCAGAAATAAAATGAACAGCTGTTTTCTTTATTATTGGTAACAAAGTTTCAAAGTATTTCTCTTGATAGTTTGAACTGCTAAACATTTCATATTTATTTTCTGTGTTTATTTTACTATCAACAACTAAAGTAAAAACCCGACTGAAAATATAATGGTAAATTGCTGCTTGTTTCAGTAGACTGTTTACATGACACCGTAATACGATACCCTCGAAAGCAACAAAGCACATGCTAAGAGATTAGCCGAATTGACCCCCTGCTCCGAGAATAGGATGTCTGATGTATCGGATTACATATCCTACAATGTTTTCTTAAAAATTCAGAGTAATCACACTGCACTTACAATCAGTGAAAACATTTATGCCAACAACAGAATGTGGAATTTATTGGCTTATGTATGTATCCTACAGTGTTTACAACAATAATTCTCCAGAGTACGAAGGCTGTACTTTGAATCTGTCAAAATGTTTATTATATGATTGATGCCTATACAATAAACATCTCAATTCTTTGAATATTGGTAATCCTTTTGGGGTGTTTGGAATTTAGCACCATAAGTGTACAAAGATGTTATTTGAGCACATGCTTATAAAATCCCATTCCTATTTTCAGTACACTTATTCGTCAACCAATAAAAACTCAGGTTTCAGTACTACCATTTGCACTTGTTTGTTTTGGTTTTAGTTTTGCAAGCCTTCCGAGTCTAGTCTTCTTCATAAAGCATGACATTATTTCTCCAACACTTGTAAAATATTTTACCTTTCTAAATGTTATGAATAAATCTGTTTTTAAGTTGTCAAGTTTTTAATGTTGTAAAATTGCATTTATTTTACCTCAGTTTAGACAATTAGAATAACACACATACAGTAAACATAACTGTATTGGCCTACAAAATACAAAGCTCTAACTATAATACAAGTATTTTGCAAAATACAGCGATATTTTGTATACCATACATTACGTGTGTGTGTGTGTGTGTGTATATTAATATTTACTCAAATGTTCAAATTTGAATTATTTTTCTTAAAACATAGAACAAGATTTCGAGTTCTTATGATATTATGAAATGTTGCACTTGTGTGTCACATGTGCTAAGCCTCGCTGTAAGCCTAATTTATTCTTCTGAGTGGAGGGTGGAGAGATATAATTTTTGTAGGCTTCAAATATATATTTTAGAAACCAAAAATTATCAAGTTACTGTATTAGTACACACAAAATCCATGTGTGTGTGTATATTAATATTTACTCAAATGTTCAAATTTGAATTATTTTTCTTAAAACATAGAACAAGATTTTGAGTTCTTATGATATTATGAAATGTTGCGTTTGTGTGTCATGTGCTAAGCCTCGCTGTAAGTCTAATTTATTCTTCTGAGTGGAGGGTGGAGAGATATAATTTTTGTAGGCTTCAAATGTATATTTTAGAAACCAAAAAATTATCAAGTTACTGTATTAGTGCACACAAAATCCATATCATTTTACTGGGTCTCTAAATAAACTATATGTGGGTTACAAAAACTCCTATTTCTATTCACAATGTTCAAAGTACATTATTAACCTATTAGCTTTAAGAATTAAAAAGTAAAATATTTAATACATAAGTATGTTATTTCTGATTCTTAGCAATGCATTTTTCACATTTTTTTGCTTAGAAAAAGTTTATATTATCTTATGTAACTACAAGTACTTTGTATGGAGTTCTAAGTACAAACATCATAAAATAAATTGTTTTTTAAATAGTGTGAAAAATAAGTTATTGCAAATTCTTTTTATTTAAAACAAATTATATTGTCTTGTAATTAATCTTATTGAAACTAATATGCTTACTACATATCCCTTAATAAACGATGTTTGAAAAAAAATACTAAAATGTGAAAAAGTAGTTTAATGCGAGTAGTCATAATTGTGTATATAAAAACAAACTTTCCAATGATGATAGTTTTTGTTTGAATATGAAAATACAGTATCATTACTCAGCATATGTAATATGTTTGTCTTTGTGTAAAACAGTCTTGTATTTTTATAAACCAAATTTGTCTTGATTTATGCTCTGTTTTTGATATAAGGTGTTGTTTTTTATGTACTTGCAGAACTTATTTTTTACATGAGATATTCTTCTGTGAATTTATATAAGATAATTAGTTATGGAGTAAGATATTTTAATCACTTAGATTCTGGTTATCCTGCTTATTTGGGAGCTCGTCTTGCTTCTTTTTATGAAAGAGCTGGTAGAGTGAAATGTTTAGGAAATCCAGAAAGAGAAGGGAGTGTTACTATAGTGGGAGCGTAAGTGATCTTTATATTTATTGGTTTATTGTTAATTACTTTATACATTGTCATTCCGATAAGCCACTCAGCAATGAAAAAGTAGAGTTTAAACTACTTCTGTTATGTTTAAGCCTGGAACAAATATCTTTGGAAAAATGAAAATTTTATGTCTATTTAAAATATTTTTTTATTCTTAAATTGTGTAAATACAGTTTTGTTTGTAGACTGTCATTCAATACATGTTTACAAAATCCTTTAGCCATTAAATAGATTGTCTATATTTTGTAGGTGCTAGGTGCTTTATGAATACTTCATTTCTGTTTATAAATGGTTAAAGTTATCTTAAATGCTTATCATAACTTGCCTTCATACATTTGAGTCTCAGATTGAGTGATATTTAATTTTTTATCTGTACAGTGTCTCCCCTCCTGGTGGTGATTTTTCAGATCCTGTGACATCAGCAACTTTGGGTATTGTTCAGGTGTTTTGGGGCTTAGACAAAAAGCTGGCACAACGAAAACATTTTCCTTCTATCAACTGGCTAATCTCATACAGCAAGTACACCAGGGCATTAGATGAATTTTATGATAAGAATTATCCTGAATTTGTTGCTCTCAGAACAAAAGTAAGAATTTTGCTCTAGAAAAATCGAGGCAGGTCAACCAAAACAAAAAGTTGTATGATTCTTCTTTTATTTTTCATTCTGTTACAAAAGTTTTCCTTTACATAAGCACTATTTTTAGTTTGTTGCCTTGTAAATGGAGAGAATTATGAGATTTTTCAAGAAACGTACTTGTAATTTGGCTAAGGATTTCTCTGTGATATAGTTGTGTTTTTTGTTTTTGGTTGCTCTTAGGTTTCATGTATATGGTTTTTGTTTATAGTGCCAGCAGATTCTTCAAGAAGAAGAAGATTTATCTGAAATTGTACAGCTAGTAGGCAAAGTAAGTAGCTATTTTGGTTCATTTATTTCTATTAGCCTACTGAATTATTTTAAAGTTCCTAATTTTAATATACTGAAATCAGTAGTTTACTTAATGTTAACAGCAAACTTTGCTGATCTTTGCTGGTTAATGTTTTTCAAGCAAATTTAATAAATGATGCACTATATACATCAGATTAAACAGATTTTAAAACAAATTCAACAGATTACTACACTTTTGCTATTAGAGTAATGTATTTTACTAAGTTCTTAAATTCTATGCACATGTGTTTGGTCTGTTGGACCTAGACTGTACATGAAAATTAACAGTTACTATATTTCCAAATTTACTTCATTTATATTCATGAAATGTTGCAGACTTTTCGTAAATGTTGAAAGTATGTTTTATACAAAACATTAGATTTTTTAACAAAGTATTTCTACTAAAGAATTGCTAGAGAATTTACTGAGTCAGTCTGCATAAAAGATAAATTCCCTGATAGGAATAAGTATACGTATTTTCAGTTTAAAGTTTTCATAGTTTGCATAATCTTTTGAACCTTTCTAAAGTTTTTCAGTAACACTGGATGTTTTATTTGCAGAATTCTCTACACCAACAGCATACTAGATTTCAGTGTGTTTATAGACATCACCTAAATATAATGAAAAGAATGGTTGAAAAACATTCTTTTTCATTATTGACCGTGAAGTTATAGATCACTTATATTTACAGTTTAAACCTTTATTCTTTTATTAAAAATGTAATAAATATGTGCAGTAATTCCCCCCCCCCCTCCTCTCTCCCACAGGACAATAAAACAATAAATCACAATGTGACCCATTATTCTGCTTCCAGCAGACTGTAATACAAGAAGCTTTTAGGTATATCTCAGAAAAGCAATAATCTTGGTGGCAAATTTACATTATTGCTTAGCACTATCTATAGTATGAGTAATTTGTGCCAAATTTGGAAGGTCAAGGAATAAAAGGAAAAAATAAGTAAGCACTGTTGACATTGTATGGTAGAAGTAATAAAATGTAAGTACAATAACTTGTAATGAGAACATGTAATGTGACATACAAGACTTAGTATTGAACACTTTTTTATTTTATTTTGAAATAAGAAACTAAATTTTTATATAATATTAAAATTTGATTTATTAACTGTCTTGATTCCAAGCATATTGATATATACATTCATAATAAAGGAGTTTAATCAAATTTTGAATTTAAGTGGGTAAAAAGTTGACATGCACATTGCGACCTGACTCTTGCACAAAGGTTGAATTAATTCAGTTTACATGTACTTTTAGAAACAAAGTTTTCATCTTGTTTTAATTGTAATACTTGCATTTTCATCCCTATTAACTCTCTTGACACGGGGTCGGTCAATATGACCGTGTCACGTGACCTTTTGTACTCGTTTAAAGTCTTTATAAATTAACACTTATAACTTAATATATTGGGTATATCTTCATGAAATTTTGCAGTCTTTCTGTTGATATTACAAATCTTTCACATACAAAAATTCATATTTCTTAGTGAAGTATTTTTAATATAATAAAATAAAGATTTGTCCATGAATACATTCAGTATTTGTTTTGAATAGTCCTTATGCAAAGTAATTTTCATGTTAAAAATACTTTTCGTCATCTCAAAAATCTCAAATTTCCTTTGTTTAATTCCTAAAACCTCCTATATGTATTTCAAACGTTTTTTTCACTAAATCCTTATAGTTTATCTGTTATTTTTTTCTACTCTACATCAAAACAGAATTGGTCAATTTGACCAACCTCATAACCATCAGAAAAAAAAAATTGAAATAAACCTAAATTAACTTTTTTTTCTTTCTAGAATGACTTCAAATTGTAACATGAAACTACATTCGTTTATCATAAGTAGCTCTAAGTTCGTAACATTATACATTTATTTATAATTAAATTTTATTATTTTATTGCCCTTTAAACTGCGTCTAACTACTATCTGCACCATTATAAGTTGTAAATCACTCTGGGAACATGCAGCTCATGTTATGCTATTGAATTACATTACCCGTGAGCTGCTCATGTGCGTGTCTCCTGAACCATTTTAATTATATTATTATTAGTTATTTTACCTAATCTAGCCTTAAATAACTTAAAAAAGATCTATATTTTTAGATTTTAGTTACTTTTATAATAAAAAATAACGAATAAATATGAAAAACAAGAAATAAAGTACTTACCCAATTATCTTTTTTCTTGCTCTTGATTGTCGAGGAGAGTTAAGCCTGATTTGTTATAGTAATTATAGTAAAGCACTTAACTATTTTTATTTAATTAAATAATGCACCAAAGAATATAGACTAATAACATGCAAAAAGTAGACAAATTCACTTACCTCTCAAAATTTTCCTGGCTTTCTAATTATGCAACAAGAGCCGTTACAAATTCATCCAAGCTAGTCATTAACTTCCTATGCGAACGATGCTGCTACTCTGAGTGAAATTGATGATTATCTGTTCAGAACACAGTGCTATACAATACGTCATTTTATAGATGAAAACCTTGACTTTCTATTGGTTATAGGTAATATATAATGAAACGTAAGAGAGAACTATCAACGAATTGACAAGCTAGAATATAAAATAAGAACGTTTTATTTTTTTCTATTTACTAAGATATTTCTCATGTAATAAATCAAACACAGTGGCACCCTAACCACTTCTTTCTATTCTTCGAAATGCTCCCTTATATACACTTCTATATATGACATGAATACCCAATCGGAAGCTCAGAATGTCCCCTAGTGGCTTTCTCAGCCATTTTAATGGGCTTGGATGCCATTTTTTTCTTTTGAACCAATATTTCAAGGAGGTTAGGTGTGTCTTTAGTCTGCTCGAAATTTCATATTTTTTTAGAATTAAATACATCTTGGTTACTAAGCTTGATAAACTATAGTTCAATTCTTTGGTATTGATGTGGTAATTTATGATTTTTTTAGTTATTCAAATGTGTATATAAAACCTAAAAATAATTTTGTTTCATTTCTATTCATTCTAGAATGAAAGAAGCATAACTTGGTGATTATGGGATCGGTCAAATCTACCAAACTCGTACAGAGATTCATTACTGAAATAAACAGATAAAATATAAAGTTTTTTCATAAAAAATGTTTGATAACTATTTGGACATTATAAAGATTTCACATGTCAAATTTGAAAATTTTCTGATGAATAAAAGTGTTTTTAATCTTAAAATGAACATTACTTTGCATGTTAGATAGGCAACATGAGAAAAGAAAAAAAAGGCATGAGAAAAGCATTGCTTTACAAACCTTAAGACTTAAAAAAATTTGATATATTGTGTATGAAAGCATTTTAATGTTTACTGATAATGTGCCAAATGTCGTTAACTTCCGTTTACTAATTTAAAAGTTATAGCATGAAAACTATAACAAGCACAAAATGGTAACGAGGTCAGTCCCAGGGACTGAGCCCCTGCTGAAAGAGTTAAAGTATACTTTTGTTCATAAATATATTTGACAGGAACATGATCACACTGCTTCTCATAACTTATTTTTCCAGCTGAAACATGTAAAGTGCTGTTTCATCTTCTCAGAGTCTCTGGTATAATGAGTAATTTATATATTATCACTTTGAATTCCTCCTCGTTATCTTGTATCTGGTAAACTTTTATGTTAAATCTTTGGTTTCTACAAAATAATTTGAATATGAGATCTTGGTATTAAATTATTTAATACTTTTGATTTATTTCTTTTAATTATTAAAAAACCATGTTTTCATATTTTGGTCTTTATGCTTATTTTAATACACTAACTACAGAGTTGTGAATCAAAAGGGGAAGCACGATTTTCTAAATGTAAGCATTTGTTTCTGTATGTAAATAAATCTTGTATCTCTGCATTTAGTCTCACATACTTGACTAGTTTTTATGATCTATTGACAAACTTTAGACAGAATTTAATTTTTTTTCTCATCTAACAGGCATCATTAGCAGAAACAGACAAGATTACATTGGAAGTTGCAAAACTTCTCAAAGATGACTTTTTGCAACAGAATGGCTACACCCCGTATGACAGATTCTGTCCCTTTTACAAAACTGTGGGAATGATGAAGAATATGATAACTTTCTATGATTTGGCTAGACATGCTGTTGAGTCCACAGCTCAGAGTGAGAATATCATTACATGGGCAGTTATCAGAGAAGCATTGGGAGATATCTTGTACCAGTTGAGTAGCATGAAGTTTAAGGTAAGCTGTGGTTTAATATGTTACTGAGACAGGAAATAGTTTTTTCTCTTGTTATATGTGTGAAATGTAAATATATATATATGTATTGAAATATGACTAATGTAGAAAGAGTTAACAGTATTTCATTTCTTTGTTTTGACACAAGGTTTAGAAGGAAGTTTTTGGATAAATACATTTGATAGTTTTACATTTAACTAAGAATTGGGTGATATTAGGATTATTGATAAGTTTCAGTATGGTCTCACTTCCTTTCAGACAAAGCTATCTCGATCTTCTTTCTACCCTCTAAGCAATGCTAAAAACTTTTTTGCACTCAGTGCACCAGTCTATATACCCCATCAATTTCATTCCATTTTTGAACATTTACATATCCTGTGATTGCTCTTTACCAATACTATTATGCCAGCTATATTGGTGCAGGTAACTCACTCTGCTATTCCTGCTCATTGTTCATTTTCTCCATTGGCACAGCTTCATTTATATATGTGTGAGTTTTTTTTTCTATGTAGCTTCCGTTTATGATTGTTCTTATTTGCCATTTCAAGTTTTTTCAACAGTTTTCTTTTACTGTGCAATAAATTGTTTCCATAATATTTTTTTCCATTTGTTTCTTGTTACCGAATTATACAAGAACGTAATATGAATCTGCGATTCAGTGTATCGACTACAGTAGTTCCTATTACAGTTGATAACACTATTAATAAGATTTCTCAAGAATCAACTTGAACTTTTTCTACAGAGGAGGTACAAGTTTTAATTCACAAGGATCTAGGTGTTTGGCCGGTGATTTCTTCTCCTTTTAAATCTAACAATGTTGCTGAGGAAGAACAATCAATTAAAAATTAAGGAGAAGACAATTTGGAGTCTCTTTTTTTGGTACCTTCTTATTTTGGTCTGTCACACTACACCTCTTCAGAAGATTTCACCTTCCACACTTCTTTTCACAGCTGGCTATGCAGATTGACAGTCAATGCATATTCATTTTTTTCTGTTTGTTCAAGACAAGGGTGATTTCACTAGTTTTCTTTTTCTTGCTCCTGTTGCTGTGCCTTCATATCATTTATTTTGATGGAAATTTTTTTTTCTCCTCCTTTGTTCCTATTGGATCGATGATAAGGTTTTTGACTTGTACACTTTGCACCTGGTTGTGATACCCATGGTAGATGTGGCTGTGTGGCTTTGTCTTTCTTTATACATGGAAGAATTAAGTATCCTTTATCATCTTCAGTGTTTTGTTAGTTCTATATTAATGAGTACTTTGTCAACAAGGTATGTTTAGTTAGTTTGTATTTTACATATCATACTTACTGGTAACATCTAATTCATTGTTTTATCTGAATATTTTTTCATCATTGTTAAATACGTGTCTCACAATCCTAATTTTTGTCAGTGTAGGACTTAATTTTTTTGCATTGCTAAATTACTGATGTGTTTGTTTCTTTCCCATTCATAGGGCAGAGCTTTGCTTTGGCTACATTTGATACTAGAATATAAATTTTCTCCTCATACTCTACAAGTCCGGGTTCATCCCTGCAGTACCCACATTGTTGATAGTTATTTATAGCTATAAGTCCAGTGTTCCAGTTTAGGGCCTTATGAGTTTGGACTAACCTTGGCTCCTTATGTGTTTTGTTGGGCGGTAAGAACTTTTATCCCACATCTTCACTTGATGGGTCTTTGCACTTATCATTACATGGCTTGCTGGCTCCTGTTTGCTTTTTCCCATTCATAGTCCAGAAACTACACTTGTCTGCTCTTACAAGAAGCAGCATGATTGGGATTCCTGATAAAGGTGGAGAAGTTTGTTATTATCCCCACTTAATACCTTGTTCATTTAGGGGTTTTTCTTCAATTCCAACCTGAGTCAGGCCCAACCTTTTCCTCTTCATCTTTGGGATATGGAGCATGCAGTCCACAAGACTCTCATCTCACATTTTCTCGCAGTTCGAGAGGTTCTATCTCTTTTGGGGATCTGAGTTTCCTTGGAAACTCTCATTCCCATGGGTTGAGCTTGTATGCATTCTCTTCAGTGGATACTCCTCAATCAGTGGTACTTCTACTCAGATCCCTTGGACCACCTTTTACCCTTCCTTATCCAATTAGGGCCTGCCTTGTTTGGTGACTACAGAGGGACCGGACCAAAAATGGGGTTCCACTTCCTCCACCTCTTTTGGACTTACATATGTTCCCAGATGCATCTGCAGAAGGTAGGGTGCTTACCTCGCCATTCAGGAGATTTCTGGTAGGTTAAGGAGTCTTCTCTCCATATCAACATTCTCAAACTTATGGTGGATCGTCGAGCTTTGTCCTACTTCCTTTCTATCCAGCAGGGAGGGTGGTTATGGTACACTCAGACAACTCCACAGTAGTCACTTATATCACCACGCAAGGGGGTACCACATCCAGGTCTCTGTGCTTTAGATTTCTTTTTTTGGGCCTACAGTTACCACAGTCTTTGCTTGCCATGTTCCTTTTGCCTTGAATCTGGTTGTGGATCATTTATCTTGACCCAACAAGATTCTTCCCACAGAGTGGTCCCTCAATCCACAGGTCTTTTGATTGGTGTGTTCTAAGTTGGGAACACCTCATATTGATGCTTCCACCACCCACTGGAACACCAAACTTCCTTCCTTTTGACAGCTCTTCAGAGTTGTATCCCTAATCCAAACCACTCTGTGTCTAGTCCTACTTGTGGCTCCGTATTGGCTGGCACAACCATGGTTCCCTCTTATCTGACTTTTACTTATACAACCTCCTCTACCCTTACCTCTGCCGTATCTTCACACACATGGCTTTTGTCGGGTCCATTGCTTCAGCCCAGGGACTGATTCTAATTGTCAGGTCCATTGCTTCAGCCTAGGGACTGATTCCATGTGTTGTATCTTTCCTTTCCTGATCTATCAGACTTTCTTCCATGTCATTTTATCAAAGAGGATGGTCTACTTCCCCCTTTGGTCAATTCATTGTGGCTTCTGTCCTTCCCACCTTTCCATTCCTCATCTTTCCCAATTCTTCATCTGGTTGTTTGACAAAGGCTTGTCTGCTTCAACCATGTCTAACCATCGGGTGGCCTTGTCAAACATATATCATTTCTCCAAGTTTGTAAAGATTTGTCTTCCCATTGTCATTTTCCTCCTTTTCTGCCCCTTTTGAGTCATGCATCTTCCACATTCCTTTGATTTGCCTGATTGGGATCTCATTGTGGTCCCTTATGCCCTTTTCTCTCCTCCCATTGAACCTTTGTTGATGTGTTCCATGTACCATCTCTCCTTCAAGATGTATTTCCTTCTCTTCCTTGCTTTTGAACCTCGTTGATCAGATGGATCAGATATTTATGCCGTTAAAGTTACCTGCATCCTCTACTATTCCTCTTGTGTCATCCCATATCCTGACCAGTCCTTTCTCTCCAAGACCTATGCTGCTCGTAAAGGTGATTTGACTTTCACATCTGTTTCCTTACCTTCCATCTTTCACCTATACTCCCATTCTGCTCCTGATTGCCTTGTTTGCTCACTTCATTCCTAACAGTGTTAGGTGGCATGTACTGCTTCCTTTTGAGGTTCACATTTCTGATTTTCTATTCTCTGGAACCCTTCCATTTCCTATGATCTATTCCTTGTCACACTAACTGGTTGGGTTCACCAACTTGTTAGGCTGGTGTATTCAGACTTATCCTTGGAATATTGCCGTCTCCATAATGTATCTTATCATCAAGCTTGTCATATCACCATGTTTTTGGCTGCTCGTTTTTGCCATCCTTTGGAGGAGATCTTTCAAGCCGGAATGTGGACTACTCCCAATACCTTCATTGCCCATTATCTGCTTGATCTGGCTCTATCTTCTTCAGGTGGATAACGTCTCCCTCCTGTGGTGATTCTACACACGTTCATTCACCTTTGACTGAGATAAGTCTTATCACTTCCTTTCATTTAAGTTTTTATTTTTAGCAATCCTTGTTTTTATCACTGATAACACAGGGCTTTAATGGTTTTATTATCTTGAAATTTTTACATGTTCTACAGTAATTCCTGTACACTGAATCTGAAAATGATATAAATTTTTCTCCATCATGTACAGATTTTTCACAAAACGTCATATGTGCTTTTACATGAGTGAATCATTTTCACTAAAATTGGGTCATATTTCTTTATGCTTAAAATGTTGACAACCCTGGCTATAGATTTCTCTAGACCAATCGCGATGTGAGAGTCTTATTGATCATTCTAGCACTCACGAGAAACACTGCTAGTATATAAACAGTTAACAGGCTGCATGTGTCATTTCTGGATAGTATTTGTTTGTGCGTGCACTTGGACATTATTTTTTT